CCACATGTGACCCACCCGCCGGGTCCAGGCCATCACGAAGGGCGAAGAGCAGGTCGTGCCCTGGTCGTGCGTCGAGACCACGGGGAGACGCCGAAGGAGCGAAGGAGGCTGCAGTGGAGGTTTCACAGGAGGTGGTTGAGTGATGTTGAGTGTGTTTTTTTCTGGTTTTGAGGGCCTGCAAGCAGGGTTGCACTGCACAAAAGGCTTAGGCTGTGACATGCCAAGCACTTTGAGTAGGTCCCCAGGGTTGCACTGTGAGTGCTGGCTGTTTTTCCACGTCAGCTGGCGAGTTTGGGATGTTTTGGAGAGAAGACCATCCCCCTGAATCCCTACACATCCGTACATTCCTAGCAAAAAACGAATGCGCCCAATGGAGACCTATACGGTAGGGTCTATTGCTGACGGAAGCAGACTGGAGCTGCACGGATCCTACAAGCATCGGTTCGTCCCGTTCGTGACTTGGAAGGGACACAAGTCACACAGTGCCGCAAACATGTCACTCAGGTTATGGTGTTTTCCAGCAGCTTGGATGCAAGCAACTGTAAGCGACGTAACTAGTCACGTTCAAGTTTTGAATACACCCCTCAGAATCATGGAAGGTTGACATGTTTGAGGAGGTTTGGGTACTGTAGGTGCTTACATCACGAGACTTGACACATATAAAGCCAAATATCTATCTGCTAGTCATCCGCTAGAGGCCATGGCCAGCCAGCCTCTACCAGTACCACCTCCATTGTTTCTCCAACCACTGACTGCGAGTCATTTCGGCGAGGCATCGGTTTGTGGCTTCGTTCAATGGGTGCAGCGTGCTTCGTTCGTCGCATGCACCATGCTTCGTTCTGAATCAAACGTGAAGGTTAGCGTGGGAGCAAGCCAGGATGTGTATCAACTTTCCAGATCCAGCAGCTATTAGCTTAAAAAGTAACGATCACGACAAAGCCCAAAGCCCTTGGGGCCAAAAACAAAATATCACTTCGTCACCACCCGGTCAGGTGACGGTCGGGTGACACGTTTTCGTTGCTGCAAATGGCACTGTTTGGCTGAGGGCCGGGCTGCCCATGGTGCGAGAAGCTTCATCCAGTTTTGCAAAACGTCCGGAACCACGGTGGGGGGGTGACAGCTTCATCCGCTAGTGGACAAAGCTGCAAAGCTCAGAGCAAATAGCTGCAATGAACACGCCTCCAGGCCAGAGTCATCGGCGCCCCTGGGCCCCAGGTCTCAAAAAACCGAGCAAACTGGAGTTGGAGGGGAAGTCAACAAGTAAGCCAACACTCCTTGTGGCAGAACACGGCAGAACACATCCCCGCAAGTTTCAGCAGAGAGACCAAAACCCAGCTCAAGCTCACTCGCGACTCGCTTCCAGTCCTTCAGACGAGACGAGGCCATCAAGAGACGCGTGGACACTCTTGCCAGCGGACCTTCGGATGACGATGCACCGCCGCTGCTGCATTCCCCGCTGCGCGTCTTCATCTACGACGCATCGGACGGGGGGCGCAGCAGGGCGCAGGGACCGGGTGGGAAAGGTACGCAAATCCAACACAGAGACCAAGGGGACCTCGTGTCACACACAGAAGTTGAATTAAACTTACACGTTACCAATCGCACTGAAAAAGAAAATTGCATTTGGTCCAGTTGGATTCCGGTCGGGGCGTCGGGACCAATTTTTGCTTTTGCTCCGAGGGGCGGTGTCAAGGACTTGCGAGCGCCGGTGCCAACTGAGCCACACCCGAAGAGACACAGCTGTTAGTTGTGTTGAAAAGCACTTTGCTGAGCACCGCGACAACGCTGGTTTAGCACCACAAATCCACCCACCTTGAGCGAAAGTGGTGGCTTTTGGCACATCAAAACCACTAGGATTTAGGCACCTGATGTCACCACCTGTCACCAAACAAAAGCCCAAAGCCTTCGGGTTTGAAGTCCACAAGGAGAGCCCAGCCCCGCCAGGAGTTTGGTCCCATCATGCGGCGGTTTGGGGTGGAAGGCTGAGATCTCGGACGTTTGGAGCGTTTGGAGCGAGAATGCATGAGCTGGGAAGTGATGGGTCCTTCTCTGGGAAGTGCCAGGAATCCATAGGCGGGACATGTGTATTTTGGATGATTTAAACATTATTAATATATTTATATACTTGTTTTTTTGCTTACAGTCCTCACAACATGTCACCCCAAGGTGCTCGAAATTTTGTGGAGGTGGGCGTAAGAGATCGGGTAAGAGATCATACTTGGGTATAGGGACGATAGGTATAGGGATCTTTTACGACAAGTGGCCAAGGGTACGACGATAGGCCCCCTTGGTACCCGAGTTGTTGAGCAGCCGAGCCGGTTCGAGCAGTCGTCGGTCAGGCTTCCCAACGCTCTTCTTCTTCGGGCCCCCTGGTTCTAGGCCGGGCCGGGCCCGGTTTTGGTGCTCATCGCAGGCTGACTACGAGGGAATTTCATCCGTTTTCTCCAATGAAGGGGTTATGGAGTCTCCTCAGGTTTAGGATTGGCTTGAGAGAGATATTTGAGATGAGGTTTGTTGAAGTGAAAGTTGAACCGTTCGCATAGGCAATCACAGTGATTCTAGATTTTTTTGTCAGGGTAAAGAGTAAAGAGTGAAAGGGATGAACAGGCCTCAACCGAGATTCGACAGTGGATCATTCAGGTGTGTTGTCCAGATGTTGAAAACTAGAACTAGACGAACTAAATGGCTCTTGCCAGCAGGTCAAGTGTACAAAGCCAGCACTAAGGGATATCGTGAAAACAATGCCTGCTTTTTAAAAATGTATAGAAACTGTAGATGATCATGCATGCATGTTTGAGCCGGTTCATCTATCATTTTAGACTTTAAATTCAGCTTTCTCTAAATACAGGGGCCTTTGAGGCCTCTCCAGGTAGGGAAGTCGCACTTCGCTGTCCGGTGCTTCACTTTGCGGCCTCATCTTTCAACTCGCCCAACCAGTCAAGTGGCCAAAAAACACACGGTGAAGTTCGTCGGTTGTTCTTCCTGGTGGATTTTTTTTGGTTTGATTGAATTAGAGCTTTAGTTCACTCTCAAGAGCATGAACCCGGACTCGCCCCCTAAGTCGCCAGGCCGACGGTGGTACCAGGATACTTGAGCCCCTCGGTCCACCAGGGGCTTCGGAGGGGGGAGACCGCCGTCATGTTGCAAGGTGATTGCATGTGACAGGCACCTGATAGGATGATGCAGGGTGCCACCAACCAGCAATGGTCGTTTTTGCATGGATGATATAGATCTGGCAGATCGCGCAGCCAGATGTCCCCTGTTCGTGGTCTCTTAACTCAGCTCGCTTGGCCGCTTGGCCCAATCTTGGGCCCGGCACTTCAACACCTGACTCAGAATGATGTAGTCCATCTTAAATTGCGAGTCAAAATCTCTTGGCCTCAGACCGGAGCCTCTGAACTCATTTGACCTTCTGCCAGCTCCACTCGTGTCAGTTTGTTGAATCTCTCTCTCCGCTTCATGTCATCAGGTCTCATCGTTGCTTGAGTCAACCAACCAGGGTCGCTTTCATCGCTCCTCATGGCCTTAGCGGGTGATATAAGCCAAGAAACCATCTCCCTGCCTCCAAAAGCTATGGCCCCCCAAGGCGATCAAGACTTCGACCAGGTTGCCACCTCAGCAGCCAACGCTCCGGTCGAGCCCGAACCGGGGCAACGCAAGAAGCGCCGCGGCCTGTTCCGATGAGGGCCGCGCCCGGCCCTGGACCGGGCCGAATCCATGTTCTGTGTGGCACCTAGCCACGTCACCAAGTCAATCCTAGTCCTAGTCCATCCTAGTCACCAAAGACCACAAAGAAATACTAAATATGATGACTAGTCCACCAGACCTGACGCGGCGCTCCTGGCCCTTTTTAAATGCTGAGGAGTGGCCAATAGACCAAGGTGGCGGGTGGCTTCCAATCCACGCTCAGTCTTGGGGTCCCTTTCTCCCATCGTGCGGCCTCAAGGCCGGAAACAGGCCTCATTGAATCGCGGCACGCCATTGGGCCAGGCCCGCGTGTGAGGCAATAGGGGTTGCTGGCAATCGTCCAGCCATGGGGGTCAGTGTGATGTAGCCATGGCAAGAGGATCAAAACACCAAACTAGCTTGCAACTGGGCACAAGCGCTTTTTACCCACACTTGTTGTGACAATTGGAGTTCATTTGAAGACTCCCATGACTCACATGCAGTGCCTTTGGGCATCCAACGATATTGCCAGTGCCACCTGGTCAGCCCAGGGCTTACCAGCCAAGTTGACGGAAAAAAGGGAACCGATCGCGATCGAGTCAATCTTGTCCATGGCCGAAACTGGTTGTATAGAGTGTTGGGTGTTTGATGTGGAAGCGACACATTTTCACAGGTGAAACTGTCACGAACATGCCAAAATTTCGCAAGCGTTTGGGCAGCAACCCAAGTAGCCTCCACCGGATAGCCGAGTGGCAAAGGGTTTTGGGCTGCTCACCGGAGCCGTGACAAATCGCCGATTCATTGGGCACTGGTGTGCGTCTCGCATCCCGAACTCGAATCGATCTCTGGAATGAGCTCTTCTACCCAACCAGCAATAGTGAACACGAGATGTTGTCAACGTGTTTGAAGATCAGGATAGTGTGTGGAGTGTGCAAGATCAACCCAGCTACTCAAAAGTAGCCGCAAACTAAATGTCTCCTGGGCACTCAAGCTTGTTAGGCTGCGGCTTATCAGTTGAAAGAACACAAGCAATTGTGTTAAATCAATAATGAACATCCAACCCCCCAAGTGCACAATACGACAGGTCCATGACGCTTCTTGGTTCCTTTGGGACTACTGTGTTTGAGTCTCACATTTTTACTGGGTCATTGTCTAGCTGGACGGCCCAATCGACATAACCAAGTAGACCAGTTTCAGAAAGACTTGGAGACTTGGACACCAAGACTTCTGTGGCAATTGAGAAAATGCCACGAAGAAACAACTGCTCAGTCGTCTTTTTCGCAGACAAACCTGCACCCAAGAGCAGTCACCGTTTCCCGCCGCGGCCGCGGGAGGTGAACTTTGTGGTGGACATGAGCCGCAGTCTGTTTTTGGACGAGCAGCTGGTCAATGAGCATACATTGCACCTGGCAGTGACTCATCTATATCCGTTGCGAATGGTCCTGTTAGGCTTCTTAGGCTTCATCCAGATAGGATGGGAGATTTCGGACCGCAAGCTCAGCTCAGCTCTAAGGTGGCTTACCTGCAGGACTTCAACTCATTGCCACCTCCACGGGGAGGTCCAGGGCTCCATGGGGACTTGGTAGCTTTGGCTTGTTTGAAGATGGCCGATTCCATGAACGAGGTGGCCAATGAGTCAGAAGCTTAGAGCCGATGTGGTGCGATGTTGACATGCGGGGCGCAGTCAGAGGCACCAGCTTGGTGGCCAAGAAGGCAATGCTTTAATTGTAGAAGTCTAGCTGAAACTTGGCTTCAACCCAGTAAAGGGGATAGAGAAACTTGATCACCAAGCCTCGACTGTCTATGTGTCTTTAACAAGCAGAATTTCAGAATGGACTTGCAACAATGACTTCGAGGTTCTTCCAACGCGGCAGGACACGGAACTTGTGCGTGTTTTCCGCTGCCAGTCGTCTCGAAACGATCGGCTTCGCAGGATGGAATCCTTCACGCAGATCCAGGGAAGATGGACCGAATGACGGGATAGGCTTCAGTGCTTTTTGGAGAAGAAAAATGGCAGCTCAAGCCACAAAGCTTTTGACGTTTGGACCAAACGGAGCTTCCCTGCAGTCTGGGGAACGAGCATTGCGAGGACGGCTGAGGAGATTATGAAGGCAGAAGTCATCATTTTTCACAGGCTGGAATTCTACGCAGCATTCGGAGCGGAATTCTAATTCACAACGTTTACATTTTTGGATCGCTGGATTAGGCAACAACAGCGGCTACGATTCCCACCAGATATTCAGAAACAAAGAATTTGGCCAGTGTGTTCAGTGTAGAACTTTGAATGGAGCAGAAACAGTCACCTTCATCAAGACCAAAGAGTAGAGCTTCAGTCAGAAACGGACTTGCCCGACCCTTCCCATCTACTTGGTGCTTTCTGTCATCTTGTGACTGCAGTTAGACTTTTGTCCCACCCAGACTAAGTCATGTTCACCTGTATGACAAGCCTTTTTTTCAAGGCTGCCCTTCATTCAGTTTGCCTATTCACCAGAGTGGCTCAGTACCTTGCCTCTCCCACTACAGAACAAATGTGTCAGATCGCGTCGTTCCACATCAAGCCAGGTTGCAGTCTCGCCTCCACCGCCCGACCGCAGGTTGGCTGCGGTCTTAGTGTTTGTCCTGCAACGATTCGGTCAGGTTTGGAATGGCCCTCTGCGAAAGGGGTGCCATTTGCATCCTTTTGTGATCGATCTAATCATATATCAAAATACAATATACTATATATTACTATATTATATATCAGTCAGTAACTCTAGGCCCTAGGCTGAAAAAGGTGGTGAAAGGGTCTTTAACCTATTTGCCGAAGAGAATGTCAGTTTGCTGGCTCACAAAAGGGGAAGCAACATGAAGCAACTAGATGTTCAAGCAGGCAGTTCGCAATGTGTGTGGATCAGTATGGTAGTGCCGTAGGCTCTCCCAAATATAAGTCAATAGCACTGGCACGCGCTGCCTCGCATCCAAAACTCAACTGGGGAGCACCAGCCTTTTGACATCTCTGCGTTCCAGATCATACACAAGACCACATCAGCCAATTCTCCCTGCATGACACAGATATTCAAATATTCTGTTCTTGCATTTCAGGATGATTCTGCAAAAATCTCATCTTCCCTTGAATCTCACCACTGCAGACTGGAGGCTCTCCGCACTCGTTACGCTCAGGTTTCTCCACACCAGCTTGGCCTTTGGAGGAGCGCAGATATTGTCACGGGATCTTGCGAGACTTGGAAGGCCATGAAGGCGGTTTGGTGCAAAAGACGAAGCTTGGATGTGTCTATAAGGACCTTCCATGACTTTCCTTATTTGTCCCCTTCCCTGCCTAGCATGGCAGCCTGGCGAAGCGAAAGAACGTGCGATTTGGCGCCGCATCCGCAGGTTTCAAGGACGTTCGAGTTAAGCATGTGGCCCGGCGACCTGGGACGCGGAACAACCGGCCTTGGCGGCTCTGGGTGACAGGTTTTAACTTGCCATAAAGGAGGTCTTCATTGCGATCTGGACTAAGGATTTGTTTGGATCTGGAGTCGTCTCGTCTCTTTCGTGAGTCTTAAAACCTATAAAGTCTTGATAGACCCGTAACTATATCCAAGCACCGTAAGTCTATATTTTGTTTTTCGTGCGTCGACTTGAGTCCAAAGACGCACTGGCATCGGTCCGTCTCCTCCGTATTCGCACCAGTGAGGCGAAGTACATCAACATGCTGAGCCTCTATGATGTGGACATGCAGGAGATGAGGTTTCTAACGATGCATATCAGCTAAAGGAGCTTCTGAAAAACACGGAGATAAGGTGGATATCCGATGAAATCCAGATCCCTTCCTTTGAACCCAAATGGGTGATCACACGTGATCTTCTTGCGGTGATGATACGAACCGTGATCCGTGATGGTTTGCTGATTCATGATCAATGGGTTGAACCGTCACTTGGTTTCGGTGCCACGAACCCCCGGGGCCTTCATGCCACGTTTTGGCGCCTTCGGCGCCGGCGCCTTCGCGCGCGCGGCTGTTCCCGCGGGACTGAATTACCAGCCCAGTGTCCAGAAGATGCATAAGTAGGGACAAGTCAAGGTGTTGCTGCTTGAAATTGAAGATAGCAACCCACAACAGAGAAGTCATAGAGGATAGATGAGGATAGACTCTAATGGACTTGACACATTTGTATACATTTGTTAGGTAGGATCCGTATATAAGTTGCTGAGAGGTTCCACCCAGGTGCAAGTTCCTGTTTCTTTTCAGAGGAACTAAGACTACAATGGATCAGACATGATCAGACTGGCAACCAATTCGGATTTCTGTTCAGTACAACATCCAAGAAACTTGAATTGTGCACGTTTAGCTGGTGTAAAAAGAAATCCTCCAACACCTGAGCTTCGAACACTGCCTCACTGCTTTTTGGTGCAAAACAGGACCACCCGGCGCACCTCCGCGCCATGGCGTCTCTGTTGTTGGCAGTGGGGTGGCCTGGGCAACTCCGATGCTTTAAGATATTCCGTTGTCTCTACTGTACTAGAAAACCACTGGAGGAAGTGAGCCGGTTATCATCACTTATCATCATGCACCATGAAACAATGCAATTTTCCTTATCTCTACTTCAGCAAAACATGTTCATGCCTCCAAGCAATGGGATTTGTTATCCCTTGCATGAATAAATACGGAACTGGCGAAGAGGACTGAGAGAGCCTGCTTCTGATTCTTTTCGTGATGTTTTGGAAGTCATATGAATTCAGATTTTGAATGAGCGAAACGGACAGCTTTCCTTACATCCTCGATTCGATATGTTTGGAATGTTTGACCAGCCCTAAGTCGGTCTCAAACCACTCGGTCTCAAACCTGGTTTGATGCTCAAGACCGAAACCGATATTTGCAGCGCAGGGCGTTGCAGGGTTGCCATGGCCTCCGCATGGAGTAATTGCGTGCCATAACAACAATGGCGATGTTCTTTGTTGGTATCATGTCTATTGTTGGGAGTTCCTTCATTGTTTTCATGAGTTCATGAGTTCATGTCCCATGAGGCTGTATCCCAAGTCTACAAAGGCACTACAAAGCTTTTGTGTTTATCCCAATTGAATGGGCAGAGTTGTTTCAAATTAGCCTGAACATGGTCGTATTGTTGCAGGTGTACACATGCTTGGCTTCAGGCAGGGGTCGAAGCGGCTGTGTGTCCCGAACATCCACCAAAGACTTTTGACATAGCATTGCTAACACATACAAACGGGCAACCATAGGAGCATAATCATTGGTGTCCGACTTTCACCAAATGATTGCAGCCTCTCCGAGAGAAAAGAACAGTTCAACCAGCTGTGACCCATCATAGTGAGTCCTTCAAGTCCATCGAAGCAGACATGGCACAGTATGACTATCATTCACTATCTAGGTAGCTGTAAGAATGGAGAATGACTGCCAAGCTACTCAAGACGCCCTGGACGACCACAACTCAAGTGACAGGCATTGTGTGCTCAAGAACCCATGATACACGCTGGAAGGACGCAAAATGGAGCAAATACAGTACAAGGAAGAGTGTGGTTCCAGGTGGAGCTCACTTTCACCGGCGTCCGCAGAAATCTCAACCTGTTTGGATCTGTTTGGCATCCGGCGGCATGTACCAGTCCAGTTGGCGGCACCCCGTCGTTCAAGGTCCCAGCAGCCCTGCAGAGGATCGTGGCTTTTGGAAGCAGGCTGGGCGAGTGCCTGGCAGAACATGATGCCACGCTTGACGTTGTTCAAGATCAATCAATGATGATCAATGGTTTAGTTGTTAGGATGATCTTAGGATGTTCTTGGTTGACGCTTTGCTGTGATCTTACTTTAACTATATTTCATCGTTTCGCCCACCATGGTCCATCCTGTCGCTCACACCATGCTGCATCCGGTCCGGTCCGACCCCTCTCCCCTGCGTCCGACCCTCGTGCCGACCGAGGTCCGAGCGTCCGGCGCTTCCATCGAGGCCCTCGTGCCGATCTTCACGAGGAACGTCGCGCCGAAGACGACGACGGTCGAAGCGGCGCGGAAGTCTCTCCGCTCCGGACGCGTGGCCGTAGGGGGGGGGGCGGTACGCTGCCGCTACGGCGCAGCACATGAAGGTTGGACACCTACAAAGAGTACAAAAGATAGATATGGAATTGGAAGAAGGAGTCTTTAGTGGGTTTTCAGTGTCGGGGGACTTTGGACAGGTCAGATGCAATTATGAAGCCACGTGAAGACGCAATTGAGGAGAGACGAGACGTATAGTGTGGCTCGTCCTGCTCTGCTTCTGAGCTCGTAGTGACACCGATAGGATGCAGTTGGGTTTAGCCGTTTGGTTGGATTCAGGAATCTTCGAAGACCCATGCAGACCAGCAAATTGCACAGGCATTTAAAGGCAACCCAAAGCATTTTGAAGTAACATCTACCAGCTTCTGCCCCCTCGGCTTTAAGCGAGCAAAGCATTAAGAACATACTCGTTTGGGATCGATATCGCCAGGAAATCCTTAAAGCCCAGGCGCTCAAATCTTCGTGGATCGTGTTGTTTTGGAGCGCCTGCGATTTGGACCGGCCCCGAACTAACACCTCTTCCGCGCCCCTTTCAAAAAACGTCAGGATGTGCCAGCTGCTGACCACACAACGTGACACCGCACTCGCTTGCACAGTTGCGTTCAGTTCTTTTGGATTGATTTGATTGGGGGGATGTTTCTTTCACCTATATTCTCGAAATTGCAACCTCCTTCGGGAATGGCGAGGGACACTTGTGTCTTCACAGTGCATCTTTGGGAATGGAGCAAAGCCTAGTTGAAGGAATATACTATATATATATGGTTTGCTTCTAACAAGCTTTGTAGAATCTTTGGTTTAGACTGACTTGAAAAAGCTGACAAGGAAAGGTTTTGGGATATCATTCGTCTTTTGTTGTGAGTCCAACCTGGATCTTCTTGGCATTTCTTGGCCAGGAAGAGCTGCTTTTGGCTTCACCCTCAACAAATCAGAGGGATTGTACAGTTGGCTCTTAGAGGCTCAACAAGTCCAAGTCTGAAAACTGCCGCTTGGTGCAGCCAGGCTCTAAACCAGCAGGTCGACCAAGACCTCTCACTGGGTCAATCCAGAACCATCTGGCGATCGCCAGGCTTTCACTGGGCTGCCCAAGGGCTTGATGCGGCCAACCCCTCAGCCATCGCCAACGTTGGTTTCTTCGGAACGGGCAAAAAGTAGGGTAATGCCACGTGATACCCAGGATCCACCTAATTCTCTTGGGGTGCCCATGATGCACTTACTGGATGGGACGAGCCACACCACCAGCCCTCCATGTGACTCCTGGACTGCGCTCACCATCCACGGAAGCAGAGGAGCACAGGCAGCTGTTACGGTGCTCCCACACACCGAGACCACGATATACGAAAACCCCAAATGAGACCCACGGGCACGACTTGATTTGTTTCTCGGATGTGTGGAGATGATCTCGCATCGTGCCTCCTTTGATTTGATTCCAGTCACAGAAACCAAGGTTGGTAGATTTGAACATCCAAGAATTTGGAAACTAAGCTTGCTAGATTCATGGTCGACCTTGATTCCGCAAGGTGGACCGGAGGTATCCTGAAGCGCCACGCTGCCTGCCATGCCACTTCTCGCCCGGGGCCCGGGAACAAGTCGTGCAAAAGGGCTGCCGGTCCGGTGTGCTAAGGGACCATGCCGATGGCAGGAATAGATGGCTGATGGTAGCATGGCTGATGCCTCAAAAAATCTCAAGATGTTGCTGACACCTCGTAGTATGTCAAAGTGAATTAACATGAATTAACGTTTCTTTGATCAATCAATTTTAAGGCTACAGCCATGGGACTGACTACAGATGAGAGATGAACGTCGATGAGTCTATAAGATCAACCTATAGATCCAGAAAAGGCGGGTTAGACCTTTGACCATCAACCGTTGTTGGGATCAACTCAGAACTCCGTCCACCCTCTCAGCCTCTCTGCCTCGTCTCGGGGCGCACAAGTAGGCCCAACCTGGCTGATGAGTTCCTGCAGCCACTGCTGAGGCTCTCCTCTGGGATGCAGACACAGGGATCTCGGAATAGGTTTAAGGAAACCCATAAGGGTTTTCTCTAGAATGTCCCTTAAACCCATTCATTGAATTGTCCCGATGTCCTGACGCATCTCCCTCAGTCTGTCAATCCGAAGATCATTCCTGTGCCCTGATTCTTCGGATTGACCAAGTACTCATTCCTGTATTGCTGGGCACAGGAATGACCAACTTGGATATGCGAAGATCATTCTCCACGTGAGTCTGGATGTATTCATCCCTTTGGAAGATGCTTGGACACACGATGCACAGCACAGTTCTCCAGTCTGGTTGATGCTGGTCGAGACGTCACTAGGCTATATACTACTCCCAAGTGGTCCCCAAAGTGTCAAAGAAGATGTTGACGAGTGAACACCATGTGAACACCTTTTTCATCCTTTTTGCATGTGTACTGAGAGATTAAATCTACATACTACGTACCATAATGTGTTTGAACTTCGGGCTATCTTCTATTAATTATGACTTCTCGGAAGTGGCAATGAGTTGTACCCAGCGCCTTTGCCCACAAACCATCAACGACACCGACGAACCCTGGCATCCACCCCACATCGTGCCGAAAGCAGCCACCGACCTGGGTGGATTCGGCACCTGGGTGGCTTCGCCGGACGGACGCAGTGCCGGACGCAATGCCAACCCCTGGAGGCACGTGAAGTCTGATCGCTCACTGCCATCGGGAGCGCAGTGAGCATCTGAAAGCTGAACGGGGACACGGAAGACGCCGCGATTTGGAGGTCTTGTGGATCAACTCGACGCCATTCGAAGTGGAGGTTTCCTTAGGACCTGAAAATTCCTCGTGGAGCTTGAAAAACGTCTTCCAACTCGGTGATCTGAGAAACCGATTCCTCTTCTCAAGCTGAAGGAGGAGGTAGAATCAAACCTGCGTGAGGTTTCTGGTCATCCCCGGGTGTTGGATCTCCCAAACTTCTTTGCTGACACATCAACGATTGATCATCCGGAATTTCAATCCAGACAGACAGGCTGCCTTAGTCAATGGTCAGTAGTTTTTGCGGAGGGTCTTACCTCTTTTATTCATACCTCATTGGATAGGGCCCACATTGGTCAGGTGCTTCGCGGAAGTCTGACATCTCGCCGCGAAACTTGAGTGGCCGGGATCCAAATGGCCTCCAGTTACGTAAGCATCATGATTTCTGGAACCGAATCTGCGATCTGCCGGTAGTGAGATGCCGGTGGTGAAATTGCACGCCCTTCACCGAATTCGCTTGGGGCTGCGTCGTGTGACCGAAATCGGCTAGAGAAAGCGCCTGTGGAAAGTGCCTCGTGAAATCGATTTCGCCGGAGAAGTACTTGGGTGTTATGGAACCTGCACAGTGCTCCCAGCTGAATAGCCTGGTGCTGGAGGGACTGAGATCATGGTTCCATCTTGATAGCAGACTCTGCCAGCTTAGAAGCAAGGGCATCACTACTACTAGTAGCAGCTACAAGCTACCAGTAGTAATGCCCTTGTTAGTAGCTTCTTGTTACTAGTAGCGATGCCCTGCCTTCCACCAATGTTCCTTTTCGGCCAAGTCTACCAGTCCCGGCCATCAAGTCGAGTCCCAGTTCTGTGGATCCGGCGACGAAGCCGGCTCCTAAGTAGGACAAAGATCCAGGGCAGAGCGACTAGAAGTCCAAAAACTATATTTTGCTCACTGAAGGAAAGGAAGTTCCTCTTCGGGTCACCTAAAGACCGTTTGGAAATCTCCGGTCTCATGCGGAGTATATAACACAGAGTTGAGTTGACAAGCAAAGAAAGGAGGGGTAGACTATAGGTGTTATACAGTTATTGTCCTCTTTTACCAACAGGTTTGTGGCACATGTTTGAGCCTGAGCCATACCCATGTTGAGGGGTTGCTTGAATCCGGAATATTGAGGTTTCTGTTCACGGAGCACTCCATCAACACACGCGCATAGACCGCATAGATATCAAACTTCGGCCAGTGATTCAGTCTGGATGAGAAACTCTATGGTTTCAGCAATCATTCCCTGCCAAACCGCCACTTACTGGCAGGTTCTTGTTCAATTTCTGACTTGAGCTGAGGCGAAGAGTGAATGTAGTAAAGCTTGAAGGCGGAATACATACCAGGGCCCCCTAAGGGGTGTTTGATGGGCATCCCTTTCACCTCTAAGGGGCCATCAAAAGACACCCCTTAGGGTGCCCTGGTACGCAGTGGTTCGTCAAGTTATGTCAAGTTCATTCTGCCATGTGTGGCATACCGCACATACCCATTTTGGTGACTCAGAGGGTCAGTGTTCCATGTTGTACTACATTACCTGCATGCCACAACAGGTTTACCATGCAAATTATTCAATGATCTCAAGCCGCAGCAAATGAGAACAAGAGCAACACACGTAGAGTTTAGTTGATTGAAATCGATTTCAGCACTCCCACCTTGTGCATTTGTTGCACATGGAACACTGATTTGGTTGAGATTAGGAAGTTGGTTGAAGCATTGCCTTCCGCTGCAATCATGCAGGTTTCGTAGTTCTTTTGGCCGAAGTCCTGTGTTCAAACTCCTCATTGGCTTCGACATTCCTCGTCCGATCCGCTAAGAGACTGGAGAAAAAAGACACACTTAGATAATGGGTTTGCAGTTACATCTGTTCCACGAAGAAAGGAATGAGGGAACGGAAAGGCGAGTGAGTCCGAAAAACCTGAAGATGTTTAACAAAGGTTTTGCGTGACTGCGGAAGCTAGTTACTGCATTAGCACTTTACTGCAAAAACGGTAAGGCGAAAGGGTCCGAAGAACAGAATTGTTTAACAAACGCACTAGCACTTTACCAAAGCTAAGGAAACCTGTTTTGGGGGATATCATGCGAAGAACCACCATGGAAACAAACCAGGAAAAGTGGAGTCACAGCGTGGACATAAGTTTCGCCGGTACGTTTTCAGCCCTCCCCAGTGGCCTCTTCGTTGGCCATCCGCCACTGGGGAAGGGGATGGCCCCCGCCTTTGCAAAATTAGAACAACCAAACTCTTAGGAACAGAGCGCACACACACAGTCCTCACCCGTCAACACTGCGGCGCCCTGATGCTGCCTTTGAGCAGTGGAAGGTGGCAGGCGCGATGGCAGCTCGCATTGGGGCTGGGGGTGGACAATATGGGGAAGACTCAAAGTCGACCGAATTACACAGCCAAAGTCCTATGTTTGAAGTTTGAAACAACCTTTCGATGAATCCTCACAGAAAACTCATGAAAGCTTGTTTGTTTTCGGTGAAAGTCTTCCTGGAAGACTGCATGCTGCATGCCCTTGGTCCTTTTTTGTGACAACTGTGGCGGCCACACCGTCTTCGCAAGACTGGTTTGTCTCCTGGGACATTTTGGGACCGAGAATCTGAGAAGACGGGTGTCGCCGCAGGCGACGCCGGTGAGGTCGTTGGCTTCGCCGCCCAGGGCTTCAGGAGCGGAAGAGGGTTAGCTTCGCGGAAGAGGGTCGTGCGCTCGTGCCCCATTGGGGCTATACACGGCTACACGCGCAACTGTCTCAAACAACACGAAGACACATCCGCAAGTCGCGGCAATCCAGGGACCCACAGAGGCAGTCGAACAGATCAATCCAATTTGGGCGTTGGCCACAATCCATGGTTTGTATGACTTGTTCTTTTCATTGAGACATACCAATACCATCCAGCACCAAACGAAAACCCCGAACCCCTTCAAACGAATGATTAATCATTATATATCATATTTTATTAACCAACAAAATAAGCAGAACTTGCCATGCCAATATCCAAAAACCTGTGCTCACACTAGGGGTTCTTACGGTAAGGGCTAAGGCTGGGTTTGATCGAGGGTGCTCCCATTAGTGCGGCTAAGTCGCTGCTATCACGCCACATTCATTCCTCTCGAGATCCTCGAAGTGAATTTCCACTCCGCAGGCCCGCACACACTTGGTCCGAAGCGTGTGCTTTCCGCAACTGCGGTCTCGTTGTGGCGCCATGCGCATTTTCGAACTCGGTGAACCTTCCTGGCAGGTGCAAGTGAATCCTCATGATTTTCGGTGGTCTCAAGTCAACTTTTCGTGGCGGGTGCAGGAGAGTCCATGTGCAGATTGTTTGAGGCTCTGATCTCGTGGCAGGGGGTGCAGCGATTCATGAACTTTGGGCATGTGGCTCGTTCTCCAGAATTTTGGGGAAGTATCGCTCGAAAACTGCGTTTTGACGTCTTGAACTTTTCTTTGGAAGTGCTTTTGCTGCGAAGAGCCTTGGGAGGGCTGCCCAATGTGAATCTTGATGTGCAGATTTCGTGGCAGGCACGACACTTCGTGAACGCGGACGGGCAGACTTCGTGGCAATATGTGTGCTCTGATGTGCTTGCTCTCATCTGTGTGTTCTGAATTGCTCTCATATGTCAAACATGTTATCTTCTATATGTGTGCGCTCAAGCCCATGTTTCAATATGTGCCATGTCATGTGTTAGCTCTCTCATGTTGCTCGTGTTTGCTCTCTCATGCATATTTGTGCTTTCGTTCTGCGCTCTTGTGTGCATGTTCGCATGCATGTGCTCTCATATGTGTGCTCGCGCTGGTTTGCTCATATATGTGTGCTTGCTCATACCCGTGCTCACGCATGTGTGCTCTCATGTGTGTGTGCTGTCATGTGTACGTTTGTTATCTCATGGTACTTTGCTCTCATGTGCGTGTCTTCTCATGTGAGTGCTCAAATATATGTGCTTTCATGTGTGCGCCTTAACATGCTGATGTTGGTTTGTGCACCCTTGTTTCTTCTACTTACCACTGTTTGGACTCTCTTGCCGGGATAATCAGAAGTTGCGCGCAGCTGCACTCCCAGGATCCAGAAGGGAACGCTCTGCGAGGGTCGATCTGGTAACCGTGGCCACCACCCTTGGGGCACTGTCCGGCGTGTGGCATGGTGCCGAGGTGAGTGAAGCGCATTGGGAACGGTCAAGTGGGCCTTGAAGGGCCAATCCGAACGATTCCACATGCGACGATCAGTGTGATGTATTGGAAGTGTTTTTTTTGTACCTTTGTCATTTGGAAGTTGCGTGCTGAAGGTCAGGTAGGGTTCCTCATTGCTACTGGGATTTCGTTCATGCTCCCCACATAACAAGACTTTTCCAAACTTGTGGAATGTGAGTGGGCAGTACGTCAGCTTGGACATGAATGGACCGAGTAAAAAATGTTCAGATTCACGTGAACACCTTGTAAAAAATTGTTTGCTCGTGCAGTGCAAGATGTTTTTTTGGGTCCTTCTAACATCTATGATTGATGGAAGTCTTCCGGCTCCGCTGCGTAAAGACACCTAGCTGCAGATAGTGGATCAGTTGATATGATTTTTATGATATGTATATGCAATGGTATCCCTCAAGGTATCCCAATTGTCTTCTGGATATGCTCGGTCAACTGTCTCATCGTCAACGGTCTCGTTCCGCGCCCCATTGCTGCAGGCCTTGAAAAGGAAAAGGAGCCAAGCGTGGGCCGGGGGCCATGTTGATGGGGATGGACCACTGAAAAGACACTGGTGGGGGTGGACAAGGTTGATAGGGGGCCCTGTTGTGGGTAAATGATTGCTTATGTTTTCGTTGACCGTTTTGCGTCTTGGGTTCCATCGCTATTGGGTGACCGAACTTCATGGCGCATGGCACATGTTCCGGCCGAATCCCATTGAGCCGGTCAGCTTCAGCGACCTAAGACCGCTGAAGCGAGGCCAAACCGGAGAAGCCGAAGAGTGCGCCGGAAGAGGCGTCTCTCTAAGTTCTTCGCCACAGGGTGTGGGCTGGGACGAGGCAAAACTTGAGGTTCTTTTTGGGGTGAAGGAAATCACATTAAGATAAGGAAGTGCCCCTTATATTGCTATACAGCTCAGAGCTAGAGCATACTGAGCATACTGAGCTAGAGCTGATTTGAGATTCTAGTGCAAACATCTGAATGATCGCTTACAGAGCGTCCAGGGTGCACAAACCACACAATTCCCACAGTCCTTGTGTCCCAGGGTGTTTTAAGTCTCACATTCAAGGTGACCCCATATAGAATGTAGAATTCAATTCACCTTCTGTATCTTGCGATCCTTTCACTTTACCTGGAAAGAAGCTCTCTCTCATACATAATATAGTGTATATACCTGGACCCTGAAACGATGTCTTTCTTTCCGCCTCGCCAGAAAATACGACGCTTAAACATGCAGCAAATTCGCGATAGAAAACACGACACCAAAATGACGACGCAGAAGTGACAAAAACCAACGCATAAGTAAAACAAACCGAGGCCAAAACTGCTTGTTGTGTTGGTTGTTTGAGCTTCGCCTGAAAGTTGCCCCCACCAGGAAAAATACGTCTTTTGCGGGGTCTAGATATATATATATATGTATATTACGTTACCCTCCTTCTGCAGGGTTTTCTGTTTTTTCACTTTGGAGCTGCACCAGACGCCCATTGCATCGGGTGGAACTAACTCCTTCCACCAAGGCGGAGAAGAACTGGTTGATGGAGGACCTGTCGCGTTGTGACCAACTTGCATCCTTCGATCGTTTTATCGCAGCGATTAAGATGTGATTACAGAAGTCCCCTAGAGGGCCCTTGGGGTCCTAGAAGACCATGCTTGGAGCGTGGAACACCTTGAAGCCACTTGCCACATGTTTGGGTGATACTTGTAGTAGTTGTCCCAATGAAGAAAAGAAAGACTGCACAGTTGTGCAGTTGGAATAGAAACTGAGAATACTCCCGCATTTTTTCCACGGGCCTTACAATCTGGGTGGTGGGCCCACACAATGTTCTTCACCAGCTCGTTGTCAGGTAGATTTGCTACTCTGATTATCACAAACTGGAACATCCACAACTTGTGGAGGGCTCTTCCTTTCCACTGACTGGTTTCGGGACACATGCCAAAGTACAATAGTAAGGAACTTTACTGTAATAAAGATGGGAGGGCCATTTAATTTTGCGTTTTTTGTTTCCTTTTTTTTCTCGTGGCTTCTGGCTTCTGGCTTCTGTGGCTTCTGGCTTTTGTGGCTTTTGGCTTCTGTGGCTTCTGGCTTTCCATCTATATCTATCTGTCTCTATCTATCTATCTATCTATCTATTTTTCTTTCTTCCTTTCTTTCTTTCTTTTTGGCAGCTGTTCTCCTTTCTCTTTTCGCATTTGCTTTTCCTGTTGTTTTTGTTGCAGAGACGAAACCAAACAAGGAAGCAAGCAAGCAAGGAAGCAAGCAAGCAAGCAAACACGAGCTGCTCACCTTTGGATCTGGTGTGCTGCTGGGGGGGGGCGCTGCGTCCCCCCCAACCCCACCCGCGCCACGAAATCTGCACTTCATCCCCGACACCCGCGCCAGCCACGAAATCAATATTTCAAGGTGAACTCCCCGGTGCAAAACTTTCTAACCAAGCAAATATGCAAATCTATCTATCTAGCTATCTAGCTATCAGATAGCTATCTATCTATCTATCTATCTATCCATTTATCTTTCTATCTATCTGCAGTTCAACATCCACAAAGCACTGCACCTGCCACGAAATCTGCACTTCAAGGTCCACAAAGTCTTGCGCCTGCCACGAAATCTGCACTCCAAGGCCCACAAAGTCCTGCACCTGCCACGAAATGTGCTTTGCAAGGTCCACAAAGTACTGCACCTGCCACGAAACACGAAAAACAACAAAAATCCAAAAACAAAACAACAAAATCCAAAATTAAGTCGTGGCCCATAAAGATGCGATGATTTAGAGGCTTTCTTCTCCTCAAGGCATCTTGCTCACGGAGGAGTGGGAGAACTTCTGGTTCGGCGACTATTGGAACCAGCAGATTCCAGTGCTGCCAGCTCGTGTTTTGTGACAGAGCATGTGTTCTACACATCCATGAAGCGGGTGCATTTCCAGTGCGGTCCGGTCGCCAGGTGCCAATTACCTGGACAACGATTTTAGGAGTCGTGGCGGTCATCTATGGCACTGAGTATCTCCTGGTGTCTTGGCGGTCTCACCACCATCAGAGCACATGAGAACATCAGGTCACTTGGGGACCCAGGGCTGGCCACCGCATGGCCCCTCCTCCATGAACAAAGACACTTCGCCAAAGCACATGTTTTTCTTATCTCCTTCTATATGTTTTTGTTTTGTGTGTGTCTCTCTCTCTCTCTCTCTGCTGTCTCTCGAACTCTATGATCTCTATGATCAGTCTGGGCAGGATCCACAATTTGTAGAAACGGCAATCACGTAATTACTGTATATAATCCATGATAATTATCCTATAATTCTCGTGATTTGTGCATGTTGTGCCTATACAACATGTGTGGACCACTTCCATAACGGGCTGTACAGACACGACGTGTATAATGAGTTAGAACTGTTCGTATCCGTTCGTGTTATTCTTAACCTTTTCCAGCCACGGCCCAGGCTCAAGTCTATCGTTCCATGCCACCCTGAATGCCAACCTCAACGACCTGCCAACCTGAGCGGCTGGAGCGCCGACGCACCCCATGACGCTGTGATGAACGACGCGGTGGTTGGAGCCGGTCCGACGCACAAGGACGTGGGGGAAGCAGCTGAAGCAGGTTTAGCTGCGAGACCTTGCTTTTGCTGATTCGCAGGATTTGGGGATTTCGGTACCCTGCTGAAGAAGTTTGGGTTTGTCCTATTACCTGTAACAGTGAGTAAACAAGTATTACATGTTATCACTATTCTTGAACAAGGCCTTTAGTAACCATCATCATCCACTGTTGGCATAGGCCGAACATGTACTATTCATTGTTCTTTTCAACAAAAACAGTGAAAAAAAAAGTGTCACTGCCCAGGACTCTGCCAGACGCTGGACTCAGCGAGAAAACGTGAGCGGAATTCGCGCGGGGTCCAGGTTCTTCATGTGGCAAAACAACAATTCATGAGGCATCTTGGACAAGGCCAACTTGGGTCAACTCCATTTTTGAGGCCACTGAACTGAGTTTGTTGAACAACTGACCGTCCAACACTTAACTTTGGGTCCATTAACTGAGTTTGTTTCTTTGGTCTGAGAACTCGAGGTCCGGAGAAGCTCTGTTTATCTAATAGACATATAGAATAGTAATATATGGATATATTTAATAATAGTAATAGTTACAATAATTGTGAGATTTCAGTAACTTCAGTAGACCCTTCGGAGCAGTAGGCCTTTTCGTGAGACAACTACCTCTTGAAACCACCCGACGATGTGCCAGATGCCCGATGCTTTGGCTACAGTCGACTGGATCGTGGGAGCCAAGATGCAGCCACAGTCGACAAGATTTCGACCAATCTCTCCAAAGATTCCACACCTTTCAAACGAATCAGATCGGCTCAACACCAACACCATACCGTGACACCGGTAATCAGCTTGTCTCCAAAAAGAGTCTTTTTTTTGTTCCTTCCGCCATGAACCGCGCGGATCAGCGCGGCCGCGGAACGATCCCTTTCTATTTCTGCGTGACCTTTGCGAGCGCCTTGCTGCTCGAAGTTTTGCGACTTGGCGACGGTTACCGTTCGGCGGGTCATGGCGGATTTGTCACAGGGGCATGCGGCCACGAAAACGCTGGTGCAGGGTTGATGTGGATTGGAGAATGCAGATGCAGCATTGTTTGAAGCCATTTGTCGGGGGACGATGCCAATTGTGTTTTTGATGTGTGAAAGGTCAGTGTGATCTCTGTCTCATGGTGGGTTTCTGTATATGTGGATTTTGATCACTGCGTTCGTTTTGAGTGGTGGGAGTTTCATGGAGTTTCCATTCTTTGTTTATGACATATTCTTCAAGCTGCTTGTTTGGGAGTGGCGACATCTTGGAAGAGATGGTGAGCGAGGGCGTTCGGAGGGTTTCTGGAGACCCAACGCGGATCAATCTTCCAGGCTGGCCATAGGCCAGGTATGCTAGTACTACTGCTGATGGGAAGTGAAATGCTGCACGTCGCATTGTGTGCTTGAAACTTGGTGAGAAATCAGAGCCAGAGGGAGAATGAACAACCACCCCCACTCGTCCAGGATGACCCTCTTCCCTCCAAGATGACCGTGACCACACGAAAATCCCAGGCTGGAGGCTTTCACAAAGCCGAGTACAAGCAGCGTAGGCGAAGGTGTGAGAAAGAACACAGTCGTTGCGCTCGGCCTCACGATCGGAGAGAGCCTTGGTGGAAACGGGAGCAGAAAACCCACCCGGGGTTGAAAAGGACCTGACATGGTTAGCTGGGGATGGCCTTGGTTTCCCTTTTATAGAGAGGGTGTTTGGACTCTGAAGTGTACTCCTCTATGGGTGGGAGACTGTAACAGATCAAGAAGATTGATGCCTTGAAGTGCGTGAAGTGCTCCTGGGCTATGCGAGACTTGCAGGTCATTGTATATAGTTTTTTCCTGTCCTACTTGCTAGCGGGCAGCTTTCAACATGCGTACAAATTGTAGGTCTTCCATTGTCTTCCTACCTTCCGGGGGATTCTACAGTCTGGTAGAGTATATGTGAAGGAATTACATGTTTGATGATTTTCGCAAGCAAGAGTGTGTGTGGGTGGCCCTACCGTATAAGATTCAGTAAGATTCCCTATAATTCCCCATCTTCGTCACACAAGTCAGAAAAACATAACATGACAAGGCTAAGGTCGCACCACAAAACAGACCGGTCCTGCAAATGTGTCGCCCAACAAATCTCGAGCCAAGGTTTGCGGGGTGCTGCGTGATCTCCAAGTCCTTCGGAGGGACTTTGGCGGACGATGGATATCGTTATGGTCCAAAGTCCTGGGCTCCCTATATTCAGATGTGCCTTGGCAGGTGACGAGGGATATATATGTCATCTATGTCATCATGGTATTGGTGACACATATGATCCAACTATAGTTATGACAAATAGGTCCAAATAGGTCTACTGACTGACTGGTCAGACGGTTGAAGGGCCTCGGAGGACCCAGGCAACCACTGTGGGCCACATCGGGCCACAGCCGACTGGAAACCAAAGACACCAGGAGTTGATGAAGAAATCTCTCTAAGTTGCTACCCGGCCCTAGCAGTCCATGGAACATTAGGAAACGGACCGACCGATTGAAACATGTTCTTCCATTTCCTGTGTTTTGAACAGCGAAGCGAATGCGGCTGTGGAAACAACCTGCAGTTGGAACATCAGCAATGTCTTGAACATTGAATGTCCTTAATTTGAAAAAAACACGCGGCCCCGCAGCAAAGGCCCGGCACTCACCTTGGTTGACTCAGTCTCAAAAATACATCTCCACTAGTTTGCATGCTGACGCTACGGGCCATTCACAATCTTCGCTTTGCTAGTCACACCAGTCGAAACATGCAGTCTGACAAGAATTGTGTGCTGGATTGTTACGATGGCCTGGCCAGTTTTTACAAAATTACTACGCAGGACAGCCCAGCATTCACCAGGAGATGGCTCACCAGGCAATTTTAGAAGCTGAACATGGCCGCTTCAGGGGTTTCCCCGGCGTGTTTTGCCTTCATGTTGGTTTGAGTAAGTCTGTACTTCAGCCTATTCCTATTTCGTCACCAAAGGATTGTTTCTCGTGGCACGCACACTCGCCGCACTTTTCAGACTTTGACATGCCCAAGTTTCTCAATCATCACAGCTTTTGCCCAACCATGGCACCTCAAGCATTTACAAGTCGTGCTGCCAAACCTCACGGTGCCACATGTTTTCCTCTTGCGATCGTTCCTCCGGTGCCGAGGGCTTTCTTACTCGTCTTGGGCACCGGGCTGCCAAATCTGGCAGTGCATTGGGTTCAGTACCCCTTGAAAGCGCCTTGGCACCTTCGGGTTGGAATATGCGCTCGCCGGTCCAGTTGCTGTTCCGCACGTTTAGAGCTTTCATTCGTGCTTGGCTCCATGCGTTCTCCAAAGACATATATATATATATAAGCCAAAGATGGGAGCTCGGTCTGGAAACATTTGTCGAGATTTGTGGAGATCCCTCAAAGTCCGGTATTGGTGAAGGAAGAATCTGCAGTTCACCATGCGTATCCATGCGTCAGGAACTTGAGAACAAGAATTGAGCCAAGAAGATGCACTTTCTCATTCCTGTCAGGCATATGAACTGAACTGCACATAAGACCACAGCTTTGGGATGCTTTTGGTACTGTTTCTTGGAAGTTTCTTCCACCCCCAAAAAGGAGCAATGAAATCAGCTTGCGGAAGGATGTGTGAATGTATTCACTTATACGATGTAATATTAATAATAGATACATACATACATACATACATACATACAGACAGACAGACAGACAGACAGACAGACAGACAGACAAACAAACAAACAAACAAACAGAAAGACAGACCGACCGACCGAACGACCGACAGACAGACATACATACATACATACCTGAGTCAGTATATAACGGACGGTTTGCATCAGGCATCGCTAGGATAGTTGCTCTACTGATGGGGGACTTCTGCCGGTTCTATTCTCGTCCGGCAGAAGGGTTCCAATGTTCCATTGCTTTTTTTGTTGCATGGAACCTACGTAGAGGAGTTTTGGATGAGAGAGACCTCTGGAGTTGTCCGGTCCGCACATGCGGGTCTGGCAGCAAGCGCGGGTCTGAGCATGTCCTGGCTGTTGCATCTCAAGTTGCGTGTCCTGAAACCAAGAGGTTCAAAGGTTGGGAGGGAGGGAGAGAGGGAGGGAGGGAGGGTGTCCGATTTCATGTAATTATATAATTGAACATGACCCTGCTAAAATATCAATGTTGCTGCCCTTCATGAAGAGCCAACTGTGGATCTGGAGACTCAATGCAGGTGCCAAACTGGATTAATATGAAGCTGATCCTGGACAGGATGAGTCCATGTTTGTAAGACCTGCCATGCACATCACAAGAATTTCACTGAAGGACGGGAGGCAACATAGACCATCACAGGTGACAGGTGAAAAAATGTTAAAAGTGTTACTTCAAATAAGTTTTCTAAACTCAAATTATAGCAGTATAAAAACTCAAAAAAGTATTCACAAAAAATACAACAGACTACCACATATAACCTCATTCATGTTTCAAAATCATAACTACTAACCATTTGGTACCTCATTCATTGTTCAAAATCATTACAGTGAATACATAACTATCTCATTCATTCCACAAAATCATCACTACTAACCATCTATTACCTCATTCATTCCTCAAAAATCATAGCTACTAACCATCTATTACCTCACCCCTTTTATTGAAATCATAACAGTCAATACATCATCACCTCATCCAGTCCATACCCAAAACAAAACAACAAGCAACAAACAAAAAACAAACCAAGCAAAGAGCAAGATTTAAAAAAGACCAGCGACAACAATATAGCATAACCCCTCACCTTTAATTATCCAATCTTCAAATCCATAATTCCAATAGATGTTATTAGAAATATGTTAGTAGTAAATGTCTTCAATAACTGTTAAATCAAAATACAAGGCTTGTATTCTATTGTACTATCTTTATCTTGGTCTGCTTTATGTAATACTTTATCTATATATGTTCATCTACATATGCATCAAAGTCATTCATAAAGTAAATCTCTCTATAGCTACATTAATCTGTTCAATATTCCTTTTCTGGGAGTTTTGCCAATGAAATTGAACTTCAATATCAAGTTTAACTCTATAATTTAAGTAATCTCCTACTTCTTCATAAATCAAAGATAGTAATTCTTCTTGTTCTTTTGTTATTATGTCTTCTATACTTTTCAAACTAAATGACACTCCTCTCTCATAATACAGTATTCAATTTTGTATATAGTTTTTCTTGATTTCAAAATTGGCGTGTCATTTTAGGACCAAGTCTTGAAATCTTATATGTGTTTTGTATTATTTTCAATGCTTCACTATGTTTTATTTTCACATATTTGGGTTCTCCATGAGTATATGCTACAATACTACTCAACACATTTGCTGGCAAATCCTTCATACAATCCATCCACTAATAAACTTAACTGACTAATCTTCAAGTAAATTGTAAGGGCTCCGCCCGGGTGCCGCCGACCCCTTTTCATCTCGAGGGTTTGGCGGTTGAACCTTGACAACTTCCTGGGATTCAACAGCGAGACTTGGATGGGCTTCACACCAATGCTGGCATTCAAGCCACAGCGATGTAGAATGCAGGTGGCTAGGAGCTCTGGTAGACTTTGTTTTATAGTATATAAGGATTCTTCAAGGGTCGAGCGCCAAAGAGTTTGATCGTGCTTGGACACGGCATTTGGCGCGACATCTGGTGTGAACCGGAGAGGCCGCAACAGGCCTGCCAGCTGCCGAGGAGCGTTTGAAGGCG